AGTTAGTCAATAGAGTTGTAATATCACATTGATGGGAGAAGAAAAGTATAAGAATTGAGTCTTTTGGTAATTTAATTACTTAGTTAATTTTATATTAATTAATTAACGTTTGAATATTGTGAAAAGAAGTGTCCTTCCAAAAGGTAACTTCCTTTCTATGTGAAACTATGTGTTCTTTCGCAAAAGGTAACTGCCTTTTTTCTATTAAAGGATGTGTCTATTCAGAAGGGAACTTCCAGTTTTCATAAGTATAAATAGATGACTGCCATAACTCTTATTTTTTAACAAAAATGAGAGGATTCTTCTTCTTCCCGTTTCCTTCTCTATTTCATAAATACAGAAGTCTGCAGGACTATTGATTCGAGACTTTGAATTGAAGGGACTCCTGATGGTGGTTTGCTCGAGCTACCAGCAATTTGTAGTGGGGGCAAATAACACTCTAAGAAGAGTGAATCATTCATGCCTTCAATTAGATTATTTCCTACCAGTTTCTGACAATGTGTATGTCTTTAAAAAAAGGAAGAAGAAGAAGAAGGTCCCAAGATCAATTGAGAAGCAACAACATTTGGACAAGGAAGAAGCAGTTGGGTCGTGAAGCAAAATGTATTTTTGTAATGCTTGCTTCATCTCTAACTTCCGGTAGACATAACTACGTGTTGGGAATTTTTTACCCCGTGGTTGGTTCCGAAGAGGTAAAGTGGCACTCGAGTCTCGATGGTCATTGGGAAAGATAATATGCTGCCCCTGTTTCTTTAATTTGGGATGTTAGAATGAACGCATTGGATGCATCTATTATTACATGCCTATATTGAAAGAAACATGCAGTTCTTGAATATATTTCAGGCAATATAAGCAAATATATATATATATATATATATATATATATATATATATATATATATATATATATGGTGAGTTCTACGGTACCCCGGGTAAAATCCGGGGTACCGCATACCTTGAGTAAAAAAACGTTATCTAGACCTCGAATTGACTGATCTTTCGGACATGATACTATACTCTAATCCATAAAGATCAAAATATAGGTCTTAATTCACTTAATCTTATACCCCAAGATCAATTTAGTTAGAAATAATAATCGACGGTTATGATTCGTCCAAATATAGGCAAAAAAATCAATGCACCATCTTAGAGTTTATAGTTTATGATTTAGATAATTAGGACCTAGGGTTCACTCATTAAGGGTTAGGGTATAGTATCATGCCCAAAAACCCTGCTAATTCGAGGTCTAGATAGCGTTTTCATACTCAGGGTATGCGGTACCCCGGATTTCACCCGGGGTACCGTAGAACTCACCATATATATATATATATATATATATATATATATATATATGGGGAGTTCTACGGCACCCAGGGTGAAATCCGGGGTACCGCATACCTTGAGTAAGAAAATACTATCCAGAACTTGAATTGACTGTTCTTTCGGACATGATACTATACCCTACCCATTAAAGATCAAAATCTAGGTCTTAATTCTCTAAATCTTATACCCCAAGATCAATTTAATTAGAAACAATAATCGACGGTTATGATTCGTCCAAATATAGGCAAAAAATCAATGCACCATCTAAGGGTTTATAGTTTATGATTTAGATAATTAGGACTTAGGGTTCACTCATTAAGGGTTAGGATATAGTATCATGCCCAAAAATCCTGTTAATTCGAGGTCTAGATAACATTTTTATACTTAAGGTATGCGGTACCCCAGATTTCACCCGAGGTACCGTAGAAGGCACCATGGTGCCTTCTACGGTACCCCGGGTAAAATCCGGGGTATCACATACCCAGGGTGATCTTTCACCGTACGTGTGATCTCAACGGCTCTAGATTTTTCGTTGTTAAATCACTTATTAATTATAACCATAATTACCAAAACCCTCTTACAAGATATAAATGATTGCAATTTAGTCTAATTAATTGGTTTGGGTGGGTGAAGTGATTTTTTGGATTGATCTTTTGATTCAATTAACCAACCCCAATACCCAACCAAACCCACGTCCCTAGAGAACTAAAGGACACCCTCCACAGACCATCCCTAATTCCCTCTTCTTCTTCTTCTTCTTCTTCTTCTTCTTCTTCTTCTTCTTCTTCTTCTTCTTCTTCTTCTTCTTCTTCTTCTTCTTCTTCTTCTTCTTCTTCTTCCTTCTTCGTCCCGACTGTCCCTCCACCTTCATATTGATTCCGCCCAGATCATCCTCTCATCCACGATCCTCCCCGAAACCCTAATTCTACCCAACCGCCTCAAGAGCTTCGAGTCCAGCGTCGGCCTCGGCTGGAAGGCATTTCCATCCTGAATTCCCTCCGTCGTGGCTCCCGCTCCTCCCACTTCCACTCCCAACAGGAAGTGATCCTCTCCATCCTCTCCTACGACGGCGAATGAATCCACTACTTCTTCGAGCAGGCTGTCCAATCGGGTGTAATCGAAGGGAGGCACGCCAAGAGGTTGGGGGAAATCAGCGCCTGGGCGGAATTCGGAGGATATAGCGCGAGCCTCTCGTTTAAAGTTAGGGATTTGAACGAATTGAAAGGGGACATAGTCGCGATGTCGTCGACGTTCGAGATCGCGCACTGGAGAGGAAATGGGTGCGGCGATGAAATTGAAACGAAGATGGTGATGAAGAAGCTTTTGATCGTTCGGGATTCGCCGGTTTATGGCATTGGCGGCTATTAGGGAGGGACGAGTAAAAGAAGATATCATCGTCGTTGTTTACTCCATCGAAGCTATATCGTCTGAGCCGATTCCTTCTTGTTTTCCGGTGAGAATTTCTCTGACCCTCTCTCTCAAAAAGGGTTTCCCCCCAGCTCCATTCAAGTGAAAACCGCTGCTTCTTTTGAATCATTCCCAATCGGAGAATCGTCCCTCCGCCGGCGGCTAATCAGTTAGATAATCTATTTAGCTTTCTGGGTACATGCCCAATGCAATCGAGCTCGACGCCGAGGGAATTTACCGAAACCATTTTAGTTTGTGGCGATGCGTTGAGTGTTGATTTGCTATGCCTGTTGATCTTATCGAACTGGAGCAGTCTTGTGTTATAATTGCTTGAGTAATCATAATTTCATATAGCCGATTGGCGAGTCCAGTGGTAATTGATAGTGGGTCTCATTCAGCTTTGTGTTATTGATATTGTATCATTCTTCTTATGAGCCACTGGTCAGGTGGATTCTCTTTTTTTGTTTTCTTTTTTACCCCTTTTAGGTTCAGCAACCTTTGTTGTACGTCTCTAATAATTTTCTTTGTGTTTCCAATTGCTAGTTGTTCTTTTCTGTTGGCTGCTTAAGGAAGCCATTTGATGTTATGTTTCATTCTCTTCTAAGAATATCATGCTCTTGTTTTTCTTGTGCAGTCAGATGTGTTCAAGTGGTGGAAACCCGGGGGGAAGTGGTTCTTGGAATTTGCAAGGGCTATTAGGTTCACCCCTATTATCTTCTGGGGGAGATTTGGGTACTATTCATAAAACTTTTATAACATCCTACCTTCCATATGGTACAACCGTCATCTCTTCTCAATGGCTGCGACTACCCTGAAGAATGATGGAGTTTATGGCTTAAGTTTCTATTTCACCAATTTTTGCCGAATATTGCATCCTTTTCCTTCTTATAACTATAAAGACAATAAAACTCCATTCCTTCAAAGAATTGGGTTTTGGAAGAGGAATGTGAAATCTACGATATGCTATCTGTCTCTAGAAGGTAGAACTGATAGGCCGTCGATGTTTGTTCCATATCTAAAAGTTTTCTCTACTTGTTTTTTTTCCCCAGATCCCCTTTACCATTCCGGCAACCAATGCATGTTGTAGTAGGTCGACCCATTGAATTACAGAAAAATCCGCAGCCGACTACAGAAGAGGTATGGTAGCAATCCCTCTGTCGAATCTTTTATGCCTATTGAATCTAGGATGCCGAGATAGAGCCTCTAGGGGCTCCTGTTGGTGATCAAATTAGATGAATTTGAATGGTTCATGAGGAAAGACAATTACTTTCTTGCTTACTCGCTGAGAAATGGGTGTCAAAGTCTAAGGTTGATTGGCTGAACTGTGAAACAAAGTGTGTTCGAGATAGGTGTTCACATAAGAGGTCAATAGATACCAGATGCTGTTAGGTGCTAGCAGATTTCAAACCGTTCTCGTGCTTATATTTATCGCTTCTTAACGTCCACATGTGGTCGAAGCTCATGGTCAATTTGTGGCGGCACTCGATGATCTTTTTGAAAGGTACAGAGAGCGGGTTGGCTGTGTTGATCTTCAACTAAAAATTATTTGATCAGTGATACTGGCTTCTGAATGTGTCTGCTGAATAGAAGAATAAAGGATAGTTGACCCTGTATCTCCCCTCTTGAACAACTGGATTAGACTTGTATATGCTAGCCTGCTACTTGTGCTTGTGGTAAAGAGAGGTTCTTTTTTTCATTTCTAAGATAGGGTTTACTTGCCACCATTTTATACATTGTATTGTTAGGACAAAATAAAATTCTTAGCTGATTGATCCAATGATGGTTTCATAAATTACGCCTGGAGAAATTCTCTATAACGAAAACTCAATTGAAAGTTGAAACTGAGGGTTATTAGCAGCTTGGTTGGATTGGATTGTCCTATATCAGGTTTATTTGATGCACGGTGTTGGTAAACTCAAATAGTTTCTCCAAATAGCATTGCAGGCTATCAATCTTAAGCTTATGATTTAGATCATACAAGTCAACATTGGGTCGAACCAGAGTGAGTTAAGTAGAGGGGAGTACTCATGCTCGTCTTGCCCCATCTACAGACTAGACAATATCTGTTTCGAAACAGGTCGAAAAGATTAAATAGGACGAGTTCGATTCGAAATTGTCAATCTAACATTCACCTCACAAATGCAATGTATCACTATCACAAAAATCCGCAACAAGTGAAAACGTAATTCCAAAAATTGTCAATCTGCCAATGCAAGGAACTGTCTCCAAACAATACCATAAACAAGTTCAAAATTTAGGATAAAAGGAAATGAATGATGAAAATCTAGAGCACACTAGGTATCTCTTAACCCCTTGTTTGCCTTCTTATTGCTTGCTTCTTCGTATTCAAGTGTCTGAGCTTTAAACCTTGGCGCATTTGCAATTGCTTTCTTGAGGACTTTGTGCCTTATGTAATTTGTTGGCTCTTTGACAAGGTACAGAGCCACCTGCATTCTCCTCCTCTCATCACAAGGCTGTATGAACAACAGATATAATGTATTAGTAAACTTTGTTCTACATAGACATTTTTGTAATGTACCATACAAAGAGATCGTCTAGGCGGAATGTGATTTCTTACACAAATGCCATAGTGAGAATCACAGGCTGCACCCATCATCCAGACGCACACCCAAATCCCACCATCATTCCTATGTAAGAAGATACAATATGTAAGTAAGCTAAAAGTTAATTTTATATTAAAATGATGCTAGAAAAAACACACATTCATACTTGTGATGTTGTTCTGCAAGTGAAGGAGTTGACCAAGAAAACTCCTTAATCTTTGGTGCTGCATATATGGTTTTCACTTCCTTATGCAAAGCCTTGAACAATTCGTTCATAAATTCAATCTGCAAAAGTTACAAACAAGAATACGTAATTTATTGGGCAAATATAATATTTGGTTTTAGGCGAAAAGTCTAAAGATACCATTGTTTCCACCGCACTCATACGGACTGTTTTCCGCTCCTGTGATGGAAACGAATCCAGGATTTGGACTTGTTTCTTGTCCACTAAAATAATAGCTAAAAACCAATGAATTCCTCCATCATCCATAGTATCTTGCATGGGCAGACACACCTACACATATACGAGAAAATCACACAATCAGCTTACTAAATTGAGGACACGATAATATGCGTGGCGTGGGAAGTCATGACCTTCTGCAGTTTAGAGCTTTTGAAAGGAATTTTGTACAGAATGCCTCTAATGCAATAGTAGGTGTCATGCCACAATTCATGACAAGATCCTGTTTGTAGAAAAAATTAAAGAATTCAACATTGAGCTTGCTTAATAAAGTAACCAAGTATGCTTAACTAGAATAGAATTACAAGGTAAAATCGATATATACCTGGAATTCTGTAGGCAGAAAGCACACCCGTTTTCCACGATCAGCATCCCTCCAAAGTTCGTCAAGGGTCAAGTGGCAAGCTAATGCTGTAATTACCTAATGCGCCACAGAACATAAACACAGAATATATAAACACTATAGTTCAAAAAGTGAAACAAATTACCAATTAGTAGTATAATAGGAGAACTTACATCGGCATGGACACTTGAGTCAGGGCATAAGCTCCACAATGTCTTCCGGCTATAAACTTCCATCATAGTTTGGACCAAGGGTTCGTCAGGTGGAAGATCTTCAGCAAAGATATAGTGAGCAAGCTTCACATCTTCCTCACTGTAGCTTACGGTTTGAGGGAGCTTAAACCTGGTGGTACCCTACAATGATGGGCAACGACATTAGTTGACAGCAAAGACATTAAACCTCAAACAAGATGGGAACAAAATCACGTGTCATAAGCATATTAACCAATATCCAACTTATACAATGCTTCTAAATTGTGCTTAATCCAAGCAAGAGCATATTAACCACTGCTGGTTTCTGTCCAACTCTTAAGTGCTAAGAAGAAATTCAATCGCAATTGATTCAAACAAAGAATATATGCAGCCAAGGTAATTGCATAGAGATAGCTTTCGTTCAACGTTGTTAATCTCAACAAATAAGTAAACTACATACTTCAACTAATGCACTAAACCAAAAGAATTAGACTGATGTGTAGAAGAGAATAAGAAGCTCCAAAGAACAATCAAAGCAGACTTTGGACGTCAATTCCAAAATTGATGAAATTGAATGATGAATATAGAAAATCATAACAGAAACAGACTTCCACTGCGCAAAACAATGACGCCATATGCCGTGCAGCAGAATCCAACCACTCCCACTAACACCCCATTCATAAGAGGCTAAGCAGTTATTAATAAATGCTATGTAATCTGTGTCTGTCTGTCTTGGGCTTTTGCTAGTGTATTTCAGTGTTTGTCAAATCGTATGGTATTCTATAATAAAAAAAGTTGTTTTGAAAACAAGATCGATATTTAATTTTTAGTAGCATGAAAAGATTGAATCAGCATTAAACCATAGTTTCAACGTAAAAAAAAAAATCCTTCTACTAACTTTTGTGCAGCATAAAACTCTATTTCATTGCAGGGAAAGAAGAACACAAAGAAGAAGCAGAGAGGTGGTCTGTACAACCAAAAGTGATTCCCATGTATCTTGATCCATTATGTACGAATGTATAGCTAGCTTGTCCCTTGAAAGTAGGACTGGCTATTTGGACCGGGACCGGATGAAAAACCGAAAACCGGACCGTATAACCCGGACCGAGACCGGACCGGGACCAGATAGTAAACAATCCAATCCAATCTTTGGGCTTAGATTTGAGGTAAAAAACCGGATAAGAGAGCTCAACACCCAAAACTTAAGGGTAATTTGCATAAACGGTCACAAACCTTTACACTTAGTACAAAATTTAACCAACTCCTCACCCTTTTAGGCCTTAGGCCACTCAAATTCCCACAATCTCAATATAAAATCAAGACCAAATTGGGACCGGACCGGGTCAAGACCGGACCGGATCAAGACCGGACTGTATCCAATCCAATCTTCGGTCCTTATATTCTCAAAAAAACCGGACCGGACCGGATCAATTTGGGCCAATTTAACCGGACCGGACCGTATAGCCACCCCTACTTGAAAGCCTTAATCATGATCCAATGAAAAGTTCTGTTGATCTGGAGGGTTTCCTTTTTGAAGAACAGTAATAGAGTGTCTAATGACAAGAGAGAATAACAATGGCGATGGAGGTGGCAAAGCAGGGCAATTGGGTAAGTAGGGCAGAAGGAGCCAGCATAGTTCCAAAATAGATTAAAACGATAGAATTTCTTGTTCTGATAAGCACACAGTGAAAACTCCAAATCAAGCAAATTCCAATCCAATCTAACACAATGAATCAGTCCAAAGCATCCAGAAGTTCTCAAGACCAAAAGCCCCAATTCAAGTTCAGTAAGATGAAGATAAAAAGAACACCCCAACTCGAGCGATCCATTGCTTCTGTTGGTGGCTTCTAAATTAGTATTTTAACATAATATAGACATCACGAAGAGGGCATCATGGAGTGAAACTGCCAAGTTTAAGTTATCTGGTTTACTTTGGATAACCATACCTTCGTCGACAATTGTTGTGCTGGAAAATTGGTGTTTTTTCCCACACCTTTCTCGTAATGGTCAACTCCAGATTCACCGTCAAGAACAATCACATTCGAGCACGGCGTCCGTGGGGGGGGGGGGGGGGTCACATCATCTCCCATTTTAGTTCTCTTCGCTGGCGATACATAGTTCTCCAAAGCCTTTGATGCAGAACGCGTTAGCCGTGTAGTCGACTGGCCGCGAGACATTTTGTTGGGCATATTGATCTCCTCCCTAATATAATTTGTACAAGAAATCAACACGTGGAGAAGGAGAACAAATACACCAAAATCACATAACCAAAGTTAACAGAAAAACAAAAAAGGATTGAAAAACTATACCCTTCCTTCCCCATGATGCAAAGGGCTTGTGGTTTAATTAAGTGTGAGGCAGAGGGGTATCTCGAATGCAACAAAGTGCTGTATCTCGAATGCAACTGAGGGTTGTGGGTTAATAGCCGAGACATAGGGGTTTTTAACCTCATGAATTAGGAATAACGTAGTAGCAGTGTAGAAGTTAATTGTGCTAGGTGTTTTTTTTTGTGGGATAATTGTGCCAAGTCTTATTCGAACTCAAGGAAACTTCTATATTTATCCCCTCATTTAATGAAACACAGTTAATTAATCTTCCACCTACTTCCTTATAAGCTTCTAGTTAACTCACGGTGGTTGTACAGATTTTAATTTATTATTAAACCTTATTATTAAACTGTATATTCACTTTTCTTAATTTAATAGCCCATCTGTGGAAACAACAAGGCTCTCGTCCAGCCCATGGTCTATGGACAGCCCATGGAGTCTCGTGATAGCCTCTTCCTATACAGAAGAACCTATTTGGCTGTCGTAAAATTAACAAACTGCCCTAACAGAGATTAGTTGTGAGTTGCAACACTTGTTAGCTGCGATTCTCACACCGAGGAGGACATGGCAGCGGAGGGATCTCATCCAAACGATGGCATCGATGCTTCTAATCCTAACACCGAGGACATGGCAGCGGAGGGATCTCATCCAAACGATGGCATCGTTGCTTCTAATCCTAACACCGAGGACATGGCAGCGGATGGAACTCCTCCAAACGGGGATACTAGTTCAAATTTAGAGGAAGATGATTTTGCCAATCTACTACTTCTACAGACAGAAGATATTATGAAACTCAGATTCAAAGATCTAGACGAAGCATATGATTTCTAGAGGGACTACGGGCTGGCCACTGGGTTTGATGTAAGAAAAGAGGAAATCGGTCGAGATAAGGACAATGTCCTGATATGGCGCTGGTTTGTATGTTCTTGTGAGGGAAAAAGGCGTAAAAAACAGACAGCACGAAAGAGAGAGCCAAGAGCAGAGACAAGGTTTGACTGCAATGCTAGGATGCGTGTTCGATATGACAAGTCTACGTCGAATTGGTTTGTGGACACTTTTGATAACGAACACTCTCATGCACTGATTCCCCAGATGTACAAGCACTACATGAAAGGGAATCGTCGTATGAGTGATGCAATTAAAGCGGCAATTAATTTTCGAAGAGCTGCAGGCATGAAAACGCATCAAATCGTTTCACTAGCCGTTGCAGAAGCTGGAGGCTATCAGAAGGTGGGGTTCACAAGGAAAGATGCATATAACTATGTGGACAAAGAACGAAGAGAACAGATTCGTGAAGGTGATGCTGCTACAGCCCTGGCCTATTTACAAGCAAAACTTAGTGCCGACCAACAATTCGTCATTGAACTAAAGAAAGATGGTGAAGACAGGCTTATTAACTTGTTCTGGGCAGATTCGATTTCGTCAGGGAAACTCGTTATCATACCTCAACTCTGACTTCCAACTTGAGCTTCACACGCTCACCATCTCTACTACCGGATGCCATCTCCCTCAATACCTTCCTAAAGAAAGGCAACGCCAAATAAGTTTCAAACTTCATTGCTGAAACCTTTATCTTCCTTCCTTAAAAATCAGGAAAAGGAGGGGGCGAAGTAAACTACCTGACAGTAACGGCCATAACAGAATCTCCAGGAAGTATTAGATTGTAAGCAAACCAGAGATCATCTGAATCCACAGGCGTCATCTACACACCACCGCAACCAATTCCGTTCCCACGAGAACATATCAGGTAACAATAGAGCAAAAATTGAAACAACGAACGAGCAGATTGAGCCGGAAGATGCTGAAAACGGCCCCTAATAATTATACCTTGACGCTACCCGGGCCGTTGTGTGTGTAATATCTCCTGACGATTTTCATGGCGAGAAGGTGCAGCAGTTCCGAGCCAGGGGCTATGTACCGGCAGCCAGGGCGACGCCGCCGGAGTCGAAAGACGGCGACGCCGCCGGAGTCGAAAGACGGCGACGGAGAGCTTATATTGGAGTTAGGGATTGAGGGATTGCTGAAGAAGGAGCGACGGAGGGGATTGGTTGACTCCTTGGCCGTGCATGTTCCTAACATGATTGCAATCCGAACAACTTGCCAACCAAGATGAAATGAAATGAGAAATCAAAATCGTCAAGCTATAATGGAATCGAGAGAGCAGAGAGGGAAGAGCGAACAGGACCTTCTGGGCGAGTCCGAGCACGCATTCCGTCGCGGTTCTGTTTGGAGCTCCATCTTTGGATTGTCGTTTTTTTAGGGTAGGATTTGGGATTTTCGTGCTGGTTTCGTTAGCCTTTGCACTGGAACGATGGTGAGGAAGTGGGTGGATCTGAGGAAGACTGAAGGATGCGAATGAGGAAGGTAAAGTTACCCTCATTCTATTGTCCTGTACGACATCGTGTTCCATCCGGTCAAGCCTTTCCTTTTTTTTCTTTGTGGTTTAATTAGCCTTTCCTATTTCAAAACTACATAAATTAATAAATTCATGATTTGGTTGGAAAATCTTTTTATTTGGTTCAAGATTTGGGAAAATCCAAAACAAATAAACGGCGGGATAGTTTGGGGGAATGAAAATTTATATTCATTGTTTCTTTATTTTTTTAAAAATTCTAAACCTATGTCCTCAATTTAAGTATCTAGAAAATTGTTTAAAGTTACCGCTCATATAAACGAGGTTCTTTTTCGTATAAGTTCATTAGATTAATACTCTATTGTTCAAGGTTCTTGACCTAAAAACCCACATTAGACCATGTATCAAGTATGTACGATGTGATATCAATGTATAGGTACAAGTGGAAATCGTGTGCAATATCAAAATATGAACTTGGTGTGTTAGCATTAACAAATCTAAGATATAAGATCTACTTAGGATTCGGGTTTAAACCCGTTCAAGAACTGAGGTACCCGCCCCCGCCCCATTGCCATCCCTATCGACCCGTGGATACCCGCCCACAACTTCGGGTTTATACAGATTCACTAAATAACTGGTTAGGTTGAGTTTGCTCGAATTCTACAGATTGGTGGTGAAAATTTTGTATGGGAAATTTGTGATTCAGGGTTTAGGGTTTATGGTTCAGGGTTCAGGGTTTATGGTTTAGGGTCCAGGGTTTAGGGTTTAGGGTCCAGGGTTTAGGGTTTAGGGTTTATGGTTCAGGGTTCAGGGTTTAGGGTTAAGGGTTTAGGGTTCAGGGTATAGGGTTTAGTGTTTAGGGTTTAGGGTTCAGTGTATAGGGTTTAGTGTTCAGGGTATAGGGTTCAGGGTTTAGGGTTCAGGGTCCAGGGTTCAGGGTATAGGGTTTAGTGTTCAGGGTTCAGGGTATAGGGGTCAGGGTTTAGTGTTTAGGGTTCAGGGTTCAGGGTTTAGGGTTTTGTGTTTAGGGTTCAGGTTTTAGGGTTCAATTATCAATTATATAATTCTATGTCCATATTTTATTGCCTTAGAGGTTGTAATTTTTTTGTAAATGTCTAATTGGGCACCATATATAAAGGCATAGAACACAAACTATAAGAATGGCACTTGAGCTGATAAGAATAGTGAAGGCCTTCTCATTAGTTAAAATCTTCAGCCAATATCACTAACCCAATCCATGTAAAATCATTCTCCATGAGACCAATTCGAAGGAAAAGGAGACAAGAAGCTAATTGGATGGACATGGAAGAAGAGCATACATTATTCTTTATTTCTACCACATCGACAAATGGAGAAGAACACACATTCACTTACCTATATAATAGTGGCGGTGTCCATTGGGAAACACCAAACCATAATTGGACTTTCTCGTGGCCCATTCCATCGAAGTCGGCCTAGAGTTCTGTCTAATTAGGGCCCGACGAGTAGAAGAATTGAAGTACGCTTTTTGCAGTTGAGGGCTTGTGATCAGAAACAACCAATATTACGACCACCGAAGAGGCCCAACAGTGCAGCAGGCGCGTTCTCCCGGTTGGCCGGCTAGTTGTAAGGTTGGGCTGTTGATAGAGGCCCATTAGTTGGGTTTGGCCGGCCAGAACACACATTCACTTAAAACCATCGAAATACAGTCTATCAAACACAAAACGTTTCCGCTTCCTCTTCCTCTTCCCTTCGGCGCCTCTGTTCAGTTCCCGGCGAAGACATCAATCGGAGACTGGTTCATTGCATGGTCGGGTTTGGCTGTCCTCCTATTTGCCTGACCGACACTATTCGCATCCCCAAGAGTTGATTCTCAAGATTTTGCCGCTTCCTCTTCCCTTCGGGCCCGTGTTCAGTTCCCGGCGAAGACATCAATCGGAGACTGGTTCATTGCATGGTCGGGTTTGGCTGTCCTCCTCTCTGCCTGGCCGACAATATTCTCATCCCCAAGAGTTTATTCTCAATATTTTGCCAGCATCTCACATTTTTATTTTCTTTCCTCTCATCAACAGCAGCGAAGGTTTATCAGGCCTCTGAGAAGCTCCAGTCCACAGGTGCGTTAGTTTCCATGCTTCTGATACAATGTGGTTTCATCTATTTAAATAAGGGACATGATTAGTTCTTCTTGATTCGATTTAACTTTTATGCATTGATTCGATTAAACTGAATCTGGAAAACTCCTTAGTTGTTGCAGACGTCTTTAGCTGTGTGCTGGATTTTGTTTGAGCTTTGTATTACAAAGCAGGCTCAATTTTGAGGTTGAACTGATAGGTTGCACAACTCTCCTGGAAATGATTTTTCCATCCCATCTGGAGGTTTCCCATCGCTGCGTGTGCCAGTTGTAGTTGTACCACATGTTTGCTATCTGCATAATTATTTATACTTCCGAACACCCTTTTATTTTGATTTTGCCCTGGCCATGATGTGTCTTCTCTTCATTTGTACATGATTATTTGATTAGTGTCAGAACAATATCCTCTTTTGATATAGTCGATAAGGGTCTCTTTGGTTTTTTGCAATTGAAATACGAATTGGTTATTAATTCAACATTGCAAAAGTAATATGCACTATGGTCCCAAACAACAACTAACATAGTTTGTTTTTATGATTCTAAAAATGGCAGATACTTCCAAAAATAGAGGTTGAGCAGAAGGAAATCAGTGTGACATATATTTGAAGATGGACATCATACCTCAATGGAACCCGTAAGTAATGGTTTCCCAACCAACTCATAATAAACCATATTCTTGTGTTCTCATAACTACTTAATACAATTGCTAATAATCTAAATTATAGGTTTTTTACCCTTGGAGATGATTTTGTTACGAATCTAAATTATCAAAATGCCGTGGCAATGTCTGAGACCGTTGAAACTATAGATCTAATCCCAAAGCAATTGAATGGTGATGATCAGGTGAGTAAGATAAGACGTTTGTTATCTATCCTTCTCTATCTCTTCTGTGATTGATTTGCATCTGATTTGTTTATTTTTTTGCAAATCATCATCTTTTGCATTATATCAGGGCACTTCGTACATTTTCTCTGGCGTTGTAATAGAGCTGAGGAGATCTTGGTGTGATGCATCCAGAGTATACTTGATTCACTTGACCATTGAAGATGACATTTCTGATGTTGAGGTCGTGTTCCCATCATCATACTTACGGAGAATCATTTCTTCTGTAGTCAGTCCTTCTGAGATTGACAATGCCGACTATGTTACACTTCTCAACTTGATTGGTGACAAGTCATATGCATCCATGGTCACAATCGGTCCTTGGAACAGCGTGGGCAATGATTTTGATCTATTATTGGTTAAGTTGTTCCTGCCTTTAGATAACTAAGTAGCAATTGGGTATTATTAATATGATCGGATTAATGTTATTAATGGTCCACCTATCTGTAATCTCTCCTGTTCTGTAAGCGTAATGGATATGTGAACACTAATATCTTTTGTAAGTTTAGTATCTTTTTGAGGGGTGCTTGATGTAAAATATGAATTTAAATTAGTCATGGTACTTTGAACAAATTAGTATTAGTAGATGTGACTTGATTGCTTTTGACAACAGTGGAAGTAAACTATATCTATACTTGACTTCCTTTCGGGATACTATCCTAGGAACAATGTTTTATTATATCACACTTATGAGCCCCTGGACATATTGAGTGGAAACAGTACAGAGGTTTTCATCATGTTACGGATCAAGTAATTGTGTCTAAACCAATGTTCGGGTTTCCTGCCAGATCCCAGATGCAATGTGGACATACAAAGAGCTGACATAACAACTATATCCATACAAATTCAAGGAAACCTAACATCGTTACAATCTCGGACAACAGATGTCTACATAGAGTGCCCCAGCGAGACATTCACCTGAACTATTTCATCAGTCAATGGAACATAACTTGTGCAGAAAACCATTCACTATAGCTTGGGGAGATGACGCCTGCTAGTCCCCGGGTTGTTTCGCGATTGCGTGATGCCGGATGAAGGACATACAGAACCAAGGGTATGTCAATTGAATTCCAGTTCTCTTTCAGGAAACCATTTCCCATCAAGAAACTGCATAAAGGAAGAGAAACAGTAGTAAGAACCTCACTCTTTATCACTACAGTCTACAAAGTACCAGCAAAAGATATCACGTAAATGCACAGATGCATATACCTGTCCATCAAGAGCGGCAATGGCATCGTTCATCTCCTTCTCATCAGCCATTGTCACAAACCCGAACCCACGTGACCGGCCGCTGTCCCTGTCATACACTACTCGAGCATTTGTGACCTTGCCGTGCTCGCTGAAGACTTGCTCGAGGCGGGAATCATCGACGCTCCATGGTAGGTTCCCAACGTAGACTCTGCAACCAGGTTCGAACACACGGGGAGGCCGCTCCGGCCTTGATCCTCTGGGAGCAGCTTTGTTAACTGCCAAGAACCTCCCTCCCATGTCCTGTGTACATCACCAAGTTGAACTCAGTTGAAGGTATATCAAACCAAGTTTGCTCAGAGAGGAATGCCATTAGTTCAAAAGTTCATGAATATCCTACTAACATAAAGACAAGTCAATGATGGCTGAGTGGAACATTCCACACAATAACACCTTTCACTGAAATGCAGCATAGTAGTATAGACCAGAAAGTGAAAGTACTTATTACTTCAAGCAACTGTTTAAGAACACACTTTCAATGAACCGAACCTCTCTAGCTGGAAGATACAAGAGTTGTACCAGTTGAGAGAAAAATTAACAATTCAAAGCAAAAATGCTCAATTGCAAATAAGTTCGCTTATTCCAGCCAACCCAACAAGATTATCAATCTCAAAGCTTACATTCGTCGAATTTCAGCAGTAAAGACTCAATCTTTCAATGCAACTGACAGAGGCCCAAACTGTTTAGCTATCAGTTAAATACCCTTGCACAGTTTTCATTCTCACACTACTATCCTCAGCCCCATACCAGCAATCAATCGTCAAAACAGATGGCAAAGAAACGGTGAACTTACATAGTTGTTGAACTTATCGACAGCCTTCTCAGCTTCTTCAACAGTACTCATGGTCACAAATCCGAAACCACGGCTGCTATCAGTCTCCCTGTTGTAAATGACCTGCCAACAAACAAAAGACAAAAGAAGATTTCACAAAGATGCAAATTAGAAGTTAAAACCCAGTAAAAAAGGTTAAGTAATCCATCGAAACAAACCTCAGCAATCTCTACAGTTCCAGCTTGCTCGAAGAGCATAGCCAATTTCTCACTATCCACATCGTACGGCAAGTTACCAACGAACACTTTGGCGTCCTCCGACGGCTCCTGCGCCTCAATTGCATCATCCCCATCTTCGGCGGCGGCGTAGGAAGCCACCGGGCCCTCTTCGGCTGCCGAAACCTCACCTTCTTCTTCATGTTCCGAGTCAGCAATGGTGGCTGTAGTGTTCTGCTCATCCTGCTGCGCCCAATTGGAAGTCTGGGCTACGAAGGGGATAAAAGAAGGGAAATGGAGGTGGGTAGTGGGTTTGAGAGATAGGGAGTGGGAGAGATGGAGTTTGAAGGGTCGAGATGGGATTGATAGAGCGAGGAGAGGATGATCTGGGCGGAATCAATATGAAGGTGGAGGGACAGTCGGGACGAAGAAGGAAGAGGAAGAAGAAGAAGAAGAAGAAGAAGAAGAAGAAGAAGAAGAGGGAATTAGGGATGTTCTGTGGAGGGTGTCCTTTAGTTCTCTAGGGACGTGGGTTTGGTTGGGTATTGGGGTTGGTTAATTGAATCAAAAGATCAATCCAAAAAATCACTTCACCCACCCAAACCAATTAATTAGACTAAATTGCAAACATTTATATCTTGTAAGAGGGTTTTGGTAATTATTGTTATAATTAATAAGTGATTTAACGACGAAAAATCTAGAGCCGTTGAGATCACACGTACGGTGAAGATCACCCAGGGTATGAAATACCCCGGATTTTACCCAGGGTACCGTAGAACTCCCCATATATATATATATATATATATATATATATATATATATATATATATATATATATATATATATGGGCAGTTCTACGGTGCCGAGGGCAAAATCCGGGGTACGGGTAACCAGGGGCAAGGAAAATTACCAAAAGCATCACGAAGCGTTTATGCTTTATTCATTGGACTTCAACCTAACTGTACTCGGTTTAATGATATCGATTAAGAGGTTAAACCCTATGGATACGACCCGCCGCCCTAACCAATTTCCAGTCTCCCTTCTACGATCCCTCATTCGCCTTGGAGGGTCCCCTCTAAGTTCGAAGTTCGATCATAAGCTGCCTATCAAATCTGAAATCTCCAACAAAATCATCGTTTCGAAACCCAAATCCTTTTATTATTTGATCCACATTCGATTTAGCTCCCTATCCAATCTCAAATCCCCAACATCATCATGTTTCATACGCCAAATCTATGTATCCACATTCGAAGAGAAGATCCCCATCCAATATGAACTCCTCACATAATCATCGTTTTGAACCCCAAATCCTTTTATCCACAAATCGACGTTTTGTTCATCGCCATTTTATTTCCGTGCGGAATTTACTCGCCTATCTCTTTCTAACACGATTACGGCGACCATGTCTATTATTGTGTTCATCAAACTTTTCGTTTGCAAAAGAACCCTTGAAAGAGGTTTGCTAACCCTAGGGTTCATGTCGCTAGTGCTTTGTCATCTTGTCTTAGCGTTATTGTCATTTTCTCGAAACTTCTATCACTCGGTGAAATTAAGGTTTCCTGATATGCAGTGTTCGTCTCGCCCAGAGGATTGAGGAAGGAGATGAAGAATACCTAATTTGATTCGAAACAGATGGAGAGGTCTCCTTAATTTGTGTTTATGTATTAACGGTGCGTTTAGGACTAATTCTAGTTGGACTGGGTCTGATCATTGATTTTTGCAGGCTTTTCAATAACATTCAAAAGTGGGCTTGTACATGACCCATGACACCTAGTTTGTTGATAATGGATACTGAGTTCCGGATTGTCATTAGGTTGGGCCTTTGATAATTGTCTATCTCAGTGGCGATTCTTTGTTTTACTTATTTTTATCTGCTTCTGCTTCTGCTTCTAAAATCCCGATCATGCATTGAGTTCACGCAATTTAAACATAATTCCGTGTTCTATCTTTTTTGGGATTTGGTAAATGCTAGCGTGTCTCTTTACACATTTAGCAGTACGAGGTAAACTACAATCCGCCCAATTTAACTCTTCATTAATTGAGATCCTATTCCACTCTCTCACCGATTTCCCCTCTTTATGCAATGCACTCGTACATAACAAACCTCTTGTAGACTAATTAGAGGCTTGTGGTTGGATACTGAGTGAGGATACTTTTTTAATTTATGTTTTGAAACGGAAGTTAGAATTTCACTTTTGAAGTACCTATGTACTTTAGTTGGCCAAGTATTTTCAAAATGTAAAATTTTATCAGCGTATAGGTATACGATTGTTGTATAAGGTGTTGATGTTAAAGGAAATGGGTACTGACAGCTTAGGGTATTAGGTTGTTGATGGTATAGAGTATATGGTATATGGGTAGGTTATAAGGTGTTGATGGTTTAGAGCATATGGTATCGATTGGTTAAAGGGTGGGGGTAGGTGTTGTCTTATTTTTTCTCGATTTTATATTTTCTTTATATCTGCTTATAAATGCTGATCATGCCTTATTACTAAAAAAACTTAGACATAATTATTGTAGCGTGACACATTTATCAGTACGAGATAAAATGATTTGGTGTGTGCAAGGTAGGTTCCTATTATCTATTTTGCCTTGTTGGTTATCCTTGTTGGTGATCCCGGCCATTAGCGATTCGCCACATATGGAATGAAAATTAGTTAGAGTTATTAAGTTCATCTTTCTTCATTTATTGTTTGATTTGAACCTACGTGTTTTTGGTCCGAATGATTTTGTAGTGGCGTTGTAAAGACAATCCGTCCAATTTAACTCTTCATTAATTCCCCCTTTTCTTTTCTTTTTTGGTAGAATAATTACCCCTTTTCCACTCTCTCAGTCCCCGCCGAAGTTGAAACAATCCCCTGTGATATATTTATCGTTCATTTTAACCCTTCACTTAATAAGAAAGCGAAATTATGCAAGATGGTCATCAATGTGATGTAGCTTAATTGGTTAATTGTCTGTTATTTGCTTAGTCAATAAAGTAGAGGTTTTTGGTTCGATACTTAGTGAGTATCAATTTTTAATTTATGTTTTGAAAAGCAAGTTATAATTTTAATTTATCAGCGTATAGGTATACGATATTGTATAAGGTGTTGATGGTTTAGAGTACATGGTATTGGGTTAGTGTATTGATCATCTCCATCCCTAAAATACGATATTGTATAAGGTGTTGATGGTTTAGAGTATATGGTATTGGGTTAGTGTATTGATCATCTTCATCCCTAAAATTGAACAACAATTTCTAAACGAGGTCCCTACCGCCACATCATCAATTTTAGCAATTCATCACTTAACAATTTCTATTCATCTACATCCCTAAATTATGCTAGCAATTGCCAAGGTGGGTTCCATTTTATATTTCAAAGGAAACACTTATTATAAATTGAAAGTTGGGGATGGAGATAGAAGAAGGTGTTGTTGGTATACAGTGTAAGGTCTTGAAGGTTATGGTATAAGGGAGGAGCAAGGTGTTGATGGTTTAAAGTATATATGTTATTGATTGGTTACGGTATAAGCCTATAAGGTGTTGTTATTGTTGTAGAGTATATGGTATTGATTGGTTCGTGTACTGGCTCAGATGATTACAAAAATGGGACACTTTCCTAGTCAGATGATGTAATGGCTCCCCTCAGTACCTGACAGTTTTGAGTGCTGGAGAAAAAGACTGAAAAAAAAACAACGAAGCCTTACAGTAAACTTCTTAACAAAACACATACAATGCTGGCCCCTTCACTGCTCCACCCCGCCCTGCATCAATCGACTCTCATGTAAGCCGAGGACGTTTGCTTGAGGATGCCTCAGGGGTCTCTTCATGCTCCGTATGCCTAAGGTCATAAAAAGTATTGGTCACTTCGACGATACGGTAGACTGGCAAATAGGCGGAATGGTCCTCCCTAGCATAAACCCCCATATCCATCCCAACCCTTCCAAGAAAGGTGGTCAAGAAGGTGGCATATGGAAAGGCAGTGTACCAGTTTTCCCCTCTAGGAGCAGCCTCAACCATGTTCAGGCACATGAGAGATGCGAGGTTAAGAGGAACACCTCTTTGAGCTTGCACAAGGATAAACAGGTCAAGTTCACGAATTATCGAATGACCACTATACCTTGGCATGAAGCAGTTGACGATCATCCAATGGAGGAATCGAAGAGGATTTGGGAGGAAAGAAGCCTGGATGCGCCCATTCGTCAGTTTCGCCAGTTCAACTTCGAACTCAAAATCGTACAGCCGAAGATCGCTTCTGCTATCAATGTGGTGTCCTGCGGCGGGGAGATCGAGGATTTCAGCAAACTGATGAGGCTAGAAGCAGGCTCTATAACCCAGGAAGACCGACACGAGATGAGAATCGGAGGGACCAGACAGCTCTAAATTGTGGTAGAACTTCCTCACCACATGCGGGCAGTAACTGGTGCTTCCTCGACTCCGGAGATCAAAGAACTTTTCCCAGTCAAGATTTTTAATTAACTGCTTCACTTCTTGAGGGAAAGGACTCAGGTGGATGAACTCGTACTCGGCCACAATAGATGTCTTGCTCGTGAATGAAAGATAGTCCGCGAGACTTGGGGTGGATCGGCAGTCATCGTTTGATAGAGTTAGTATGCCCATATCCGCAAACGATTTGCCTTTGTTTGACATGGAGTCAGAGGAAGAAGGAACAAGGGAAGGTGAAGATGGAGGAAAGAGAGATTGTAGGTGTAAGAAAAAGTGATCGTGGGGGTTGAGTGTGGAGACGTGTGATGGAGACGATTGAGTCTGGAATGTCAAGAGTTAGAAGATTTGGGAAGATATGTAGTAATGATGATGTTAACTCGTGTAGGTTAAACTAGGGTAACTAAAGCTAGTTAAACTAGGGTTGGCGCTGATACCGCAGGAGAAAACTAATGGGCTCGCACGTTCCAGGCCCACTTTTGAATATTGCATGGGTCATGTACAAGCCGACGTTTGAATGTTATTTAAAAGCCTGCAAAAATCAATGATCAGACCCAGTCCAACTAGAATTAGTCCTAAACGCACCGTTAATACATAAACACAAACTAAGGAGACCTCTCCATCCGATTCGAATCAATTTATGTGTTCTTCATCTTCTTCCTCAATCCTCTGGGTGAGACGAACACTACATATCAGATCAGGAAACCTAAATTTCACCGAGAGATATAAGGTTCGAGAAAATCACAATAACGCTAAGACAAGATGACAAAGCACTAGTGACATGAACCCTAGGGGGTTAGCAAACCTCTTTCAAGGGTTCTTTTGCAAATGAAAAGTTCAATGAACACAATAATAGACATGGTCGCCGTAATCGTGTTAGAAAGAGATAGGTGAGGGGAAATACAATGGCGAAAAAGAAACAAGACAAAATTTTTTTGGGAAATTCAATCTACGTCGAATGTGGATGCAAGTAATTGGGATTCAAAAAGATGATTAAAAAAAGGGAGTTCAAATTGGATGGGGAGCTTCTCTTGGAACTGTGAAGCGGCGTCCCTCCAAGATGAGAGAGGGATCGTGTAATTG